CGTACTACGTTCCGCTCCTTCAGCAGGTTCTTGGTCTCCCGCCCTCTACTGGTCCTACTCCTCCCCTACTGAGTCCACCACCTGTCCAGTCGCAGTAACAGTTACAGCCTGCCTCTCCGCTGCCTGGTCCTTCTCCTTACACTGCACCGACGGGTAGTCTTACGGAGCGTCGTGAGCCTGAGTCTCGTCCTCCGTCGCCTGAGTCTAGTCCAGCGTCGCCTGAGTCGCGTCCAGAGTCGCCTGTCCGCGCTGTCCGCGCTGCTCGTCGTGCTCCGCGTCAGCGTCCTCCTCCTATCCTTGGCACTCACTATATGACCTTGCGTCCTTCCAGTGCTCCACAGCGTGTCCCTCTGCCGTCTCCTCCTGTGTCCTCTCTTCCTGACGTTGCTGACCCGCCGTCAGACCTTGCTCGTGCTGCCAGTCCTACTGTCACGCGTTTCCTCGCTTCTCTTGTCACTGACCCTACCTTTGAGTCCTCTGCTGCGTCTACTCTAGTCGCTGAGCTTGTTGACTTTGCTGCCGCCTGTCGTCTAGACTACGCCGCTAGCCTTGTTGCTGAGTCTGAGTCTGTCTGTCCTCCGTCCGTCGGGGGTGAGTGTGCTCTTGGCACGGACGTCCTTGAGGACAGACAGGAGGAGTTTGAGTGCTTTGCTGCTGCTTTACCTCATCTCGTGTCCATGCTGTGTGCCCCTGAGGGAGACCCGGATGCACCAGACATCCCGACCCCACGCTCTTACGCAGAGGCGATGGAGGGTCCCTACTCCTCTCAGTGGCAGACAGCCATGGACGCAGAGATGGCTTCCTGGAAGTCCACAGGCACCTACGTCGACGAGGTTCCCCCACCTGGGGCGAACATCGTCAGTGGCATGTGGATTTTCAGGGTGAAGCGGCCGCCGGGTTCTCCGCCTGTCTTCAAGGCGCGTTACGTTGCACGAGGCTTCAGTCAGCGTGAGGGAGTTGACTTCTTCCAGACCTTCTCCCCTACCCCGAAGATGACCACTCTTCGGGTTCTGCTGCACGTCGCCGCTCAGCGTGACTACGAGCTCCACTCTCTTGACTTCAGCACTGCGTTCCTACAGGGCAGCCTGCACGAGGAGATCTGGCTGCGCCGCCCACCTGGCTTCACTGGGTCGTTTCCAGCAGGTACCCAGTGGAGCCTCCGGCGGCCAGTCTACAGTCTCCGCCAGGCACCCCGTGAGTGGCACGACACACTGAGGACTACTCTTGCTGCTCTTGGGTTTGCTCCTTCCACTGCTGACCCGTCGCTGTTTCTACGCACCGACACCACTCTGCCGCCGTTCTACGTTCTCGTGTACGTAGACGACTTGGTCTTTGCTACTGCTGACACTGAGGCACTCGCCCACGTGAAGTCGGAGCTGCAGAAGAGACACACGTGCACAGACCTGGGTGAACTGACAAGCTATCTTGGCTTGCGGATCACCCGGGACAGAGCACGGCGTACCATCACCTTGACTCAGTCACACATGGTGCAGCAGGTCCTTCAGCGCTTCCGCTTCACGTACTCCTCGCCTCAGTCCACTCCTCTGCCTACCGGTCACTCGCTCTCAGCTCTGCCTTCGGATGAGTCCGTAGAGCCGAGTGGCCCGTATCCAGAGCTTGTGGGCTGCCTCATGTACCTGATGACCTGCACTCGACCTGACCTTGCATACCCTCTTAGCATCCTAGCACGCTATGTCGCTCCTGGCCGTCACCGGAAGGAGCACATGGATGCCGCTAAGAGGGTGTTGCGCTACTTGTGCAGTACGTCGGGCATGGGGCTTGTGCTTGGAGGACGGAGAGACGTTGTCCTCACTGGGCACTCAGACGCTTCTTGGGCTGACGACCAGGCTACGCAGCGGTCGTCTCAGGGTTACACCTTCAGTCTTGGCTGTGGTTCAGTCTCTTGGCGTTCTACTCGCTCGTCTTCAGTTCTCAGCTCCAGTTGTGAGGCTGAGATCTACGCCACAGCCATGGCTACACAGGAGTTACGCTGGCTCACCTACCTGCTGACCGACCTGGGCGAGCGGCCTCGTTCTCCTCCAGTGCTGTACGTCGACAACAAGGCAGCCCTTGCCTTGTGTCAGGAGCACAGACTGGTGCACAGAACGAAGCACATCGCTCTGCGCTACTTCCTTGCTCGAGAGCTGCAGCAGCGTGGTCAGCTTCGTCTTTCGTACGTGGCCACTCGGGCCAACACTGCTGATGTGTTCACCAAGGCGCTTCACCCTTGTGATCATCAGCGTTTCTGTACTGTTCTAGGCCTTGTGCCTACTGTCCCTCACTTGCTCACTTCTTGACTCTGCTTGTACTGTGATCTCTATATATATACCTGCATGCTTACACTTGCTAGGTTGTGATCACTGTACCTCTTGTTATATTATCAAACTGCATGTGAACTGGTCTTGTGACCATGTGCTTGTGCTCGAAATTTGTGTGGTATCCTTGAGATCCACCCTGAGCTTGTTTTGCTTTGCTTTGCTCTGACTGGTCTTGTGACCCCTTGCTCTCCCCCACTTCGCCTATGGGGGTGTGTCAAACATTATATGTATTGCATTATTGTAGGCTACAGTTGGTTAGCCTTTAGGGGGTTCACAACTCTGGGGTTTACCATTTGTACCCTCACTTGTTCCTAGTCCAACACTTCTTCTTTCTAACAGTCCACTCAGTGTTACTGTTTTAGCTTGGGCGCTGGAGCTGTGTCGTGGAGGTCTACTCGGCCGTCGTCCGTGGCTTCGTCTAGTGCCGAGGCAGAGATCTACGCCGGTTCCATGGCTGCGTAGGAGCTTCGTTGGTTGACTTTCTTGCTCACCGACCTTGGCGAGCGGACGAGCTCTCCACCAACCATGTTCGCTAACAGCAAGGCCATGATCCTCCTGTGTCGAGATCCTCGACTGGAGATCAGAGTGAAGCACATCGACGTCAGGTACTTTCTCCTGCGAGAGTTGCAGCGACGCGGCCATGCACTCTTGGACTTCGTGGCCTCAGAGGCCAACACTGCAGACATCTTCACCAAGGTCCTTCCGCCTAACGGAATGTGAGAACAAGAAGTGATAATAAAGAAAAGATACAAGAGATTTATAGTCTAAGGAAGTACCTATTAGAGAATGTACCCTTTCATGAAACGGACTAAGATATCGAGTCGACACTATGAAGCGGTAGAATCATACGTCACGCGAACAGTCACGATACTGTTCGCACTACTACCTGTTACTCACACGAAAAGACCCCTGTGCAGTAATACACACATATAATTATCTTATATACTACTGTAGATATAGTATCAAACGAATGGATTGTATAAGTCATATTTCTTTCCCCAACACATGCTATTCCAACTGAAAAATCCGCCGATGTGAATCAGGGTTTAGCACGCAGGGGGGTGCGGTAAGAACTAGTTTCCTAAGGAATAGAAAACGTGTTATCAGTGAGGTCCGTCTTTCAAGCTAAAATTTAACGATACCGTAGGTGCTGAAAGCGGGTGTGCGTATTGAAATGAAGAAGGCTAGAATCGAATCTAAACACCAAGTTTTATTTCAATACCAAGTGACCTAATTGGTAAACTCACCACATTCCAGTAACGAGGAATTGTGCTGCCTGTTGGTGGGGTTGTGTTTGTGCAGTGACGAATAGCACAGCAAGTCAATGTGCCATGTGTCCAAGATCTGAGGCTATTTTGTGGCCACTTCGATTGCCATCTCACACTTTCAGCCTCTAACTGAGACGTAAATGACACGCCATCGTGGAAAACAATAGCCACCTCCGCCAGGGCGCACTCAGAAATTCGCTGCCCCCATCAAAATGGGTGTTCCTGACATATATACTTTTGGGCAGAAGAGTTAGCGTCATGACCTGACCACATTCCAGAAATCTCGAACTTGTCTCGAAGATTCGAGAAGTGCAACGTTCTTCCTTTGAATGAGAGGCCTTTCTTTTCGCGAGGGTTGTAGAGCCGTCAGATCAATAACGGTTGGCTTTTGTTTTTTTCGCGTCGGGAACATTCTCTAACGGGAAACTTCATTTTGAAACTGTGCTGAATTCGGGGATCCATGTGCGAGAAGCTCTGCGTTGCGGCACCAAATGTGAGTGTCTGTTCGCGGCGCGATTTTCCAACTTCTCCTCTGCTCTCCCCACCCCAGCTTATCCACCCATCCACCCCAGCCCAACTTCCACCCACCCAAGCCCAACTTCCACCCACCCACCTCACCTCACTTCGCCTTCCTCCCCGTTTTGAATTTGAGACAGGAGCAACAAATGCATTGCAGCAGCATTTGAGGTTCATGCACAGGTGCGCATTTCCAACAAGACGCAAGTTGTCAGTAGTCATTACCTCTCCCTTCAATTTCAGGCCAGACACCACATCTAGTTTTGCCAGAAGGGCGCTTTACCAACGAAGACGTGTCTTATTTGTGTTGGGTGACTGAGACTCCCTTGACCCTTCATCTTCCATACGGCGGAACGACGTTTTCGACTCCATTCTAATTGGTTAGGAGAAGCAGACTGGAAGCCCAAGCAGCATCCAGCCGATTTGCGTGGCGACGCAGAAAATTGGATAAAAGGCTGTCAAATCCAGATTCCCGCATTTCGCTTTCTGCACGCTTCCACCTCTCCCATCTGACACGTCACGCGAGTCAAGTCCCGAAAGTAGTCCCACCCACCCAACGCAACGTGTGGTGTGGTGTGGACCTATCTCTCTCATCTCGTCGTTTCGAGACCGCGCTTTCTGTGTTCGACCAGTCATACTGCTCTCAGCTATATTCGTCATTCATCCGCCGCTCTATCCACAGGTGCGAGTCTATCGTCGCTTCATTCCTCCTACCTATCCGCGAGCTTCGAGGTTCAGTGGACTGACGTTCACAACCGTTCTGCCAGCAGTGCTGCTATTTCATCACCACAACAATCCCCAAAGCTCCTCTGTTCACCCTATTACGCCTCTGCCTCAATCACTGCCCCGTCGCTTCATTTAGGAGGCCCGAGCCTGCTAGGCCGACAGATCAGGCGCCATGCCGAGCCTGATCAGCATTCTCTCCTCTCAGAGCTCCTCTCGCTTCGCCCACGCTCTCAGCAGGGAGACTCGTGTGTCGACCGCCGAAAATGCGTCCGTCAAGGTTCCCGCGAATCTAGGCCTTTCATTTGGCCCAGCGGCTCCTAGCACTTTCCACATGCCCGCTCCGCCGCCCTTTCAGCAACACGCTCCTTCGTTCCAGCAGCAATTACAGCACCAACTGTATCAACTGCCGCTCATGCCCGCGCAGCAGTCGATCCCGCGCGGGAGCGATTCAACTCACGGCATTTCCGCAAATCCCGCCGATCGTTGCGGGCTGCATCTAATTCGCGGCAACGTGTTCGACCTCCGGTCGCAAGACCTGTCGACCACGGCCGTATCACCCGCTGGCATGGCTGGTGACGTATCGATTTCATCCTCGATTCGCCTGGCGGATCTGATATCCGAGTATTTTGAAGATTGCGATGAGGATGGCGACGCGCTCGACGGCTTGACGACTCTGAGAACAGAGCGCAGCGCGCAGGCGCAGTTTCACGAATCCCGCGCAGGAACAGCAACCTTTCTGCCCGCCACGAACCCCTCGCGCTCGAACCTGGGATCGCAGGGCGAGGAGGCGAATCAATGGTTGTCCGCAGACTATCTGGACAGGCAGATGCAACTGACGGAGCAGAGTCAACTTCGCATGGTTCAGGTACGACACCCTAAACCCTAAATCCGAAATCTTAAAACCCGAAACCCTCATCAGTCGTCGGTGCTCGTCTGTGTCCTTTATCCCCGCTATAAGCATGTGCGCGGCCCGCCTATAAAAACAAACCTCAGAATTTTGTGTTTTAACGTTTCTTTCCTTCCCTCTTCCTCCGCGCCGGGTGTCTCCTCCAGTCCCTCGCAGACATGGATGGCCCTGTCGAAAGCGCTCTCTACGCTGACGTCATCACAGCGATGACCGACGCGCGTGCGTGCCACGCGAACGTCCTGCGCGGGAGCAGCATGAACGCGGCGGTCGCAGGGCGACTGCGTGCGATGGGGTACGACGCGGCGGTGTGCACGACGCAGTGGGAAACGTCGCCCACCATGCCCGAGGGTGAGTGTCGAACGCCATATCCCCTGCTCCGAGATTTTGCAGGGGTTTTTGAGAATCCTCGGAACGCGATTCCCGTGTGCGCCTCACTCTTCCTCACCCTTCTTCCTCACGATTCGCCTCGTACGAATTATCTAATTTTTGCGCCAGCGTACCGTAAATCTTAACATCCGCCGCCCGTCTCCTGTCTGCCTGTCAACCTCTGCAGGGTCATACGAGTACATTGATGTCCTCGTCTCCGCGGAACCGCTCTCCCGCCCGCCCGCATCCGCGTCCCCCTGTTCCGCCCGCGCCAGTTCCACCTCCCCGGCTCCAGCCTCCCCCTCGCCCACCTTCACCAGAACCACCCCTCCGACCGCCGCCCCTCGCTCTTCCGTTCTCCCTTCCTCCGCCGCCTCCCTTTCCGCCGACGGCGCTTCCCCCTCCCCCGCTTCCGCCACCCCCCAGCGCTTCATCGTCGACCTGGACTTCCGCGTGCAGTTCCAGATCGCACGGCCCACGCGCGAGTACGCGTGCACGCTCGAATCCACGCCGTTGATCTTCGTGGGGCGGCAGGAGCGGCTGGCGCGGTTGGTGGAGATGGTATCTGGCGCGATGAGGGGGGCTTTAAGGGCGCAGGGCATGCACATTCCGCCGTGGCGCAAGGGGGAGTATCTCCACGCCAAGTGGATGGCTGCGGTTAGCCAGAGAGTCGTGTGTGAGGCGAAGGGGATGGCGAATGATACGGAGGGCGAGGTGGAAGAGAGCAAGAGAGTTGTGGGCAAGGGGAATGTAGGCGAAGGGATGGAGAGCAAGGGGATGGAGAAGCGGGGAGTCGGGCGGGGGGATAAGGTTACAATTACAGCTGGTGGTGATTTAAATGGTGGCGAGGATTTTCATGCTCCACCCCTCTCTACTGTCACATCTGCCACTAGCACTGCTGATTCTGCCGTTCCTGTGAAGCCAGCCCCTGCTGCCAGCCCCTTATCTGCTGGCGCTCTCCCCCTTGCATCCACTACTGCTCCAGCTGGAAGCTTCTATGCATCTTCCGCTCCAGGCATCACAGGTACTGCCAGGGCTGCACACGCTCTGCACCAGCAGCAGCAGCAGCAGCAGCAAGAACAGTTGGCCCATGCCGGAGCTGCACCCGCTCTGCACCACCAGCGCCAGCAGCAGCAAGCACCGACCCCCCACGCTGCGGACACCATGGGGGATGCAGTTCTCTTCCAAGGCCGCCTCGTTCCCACGAGACGCTTTGCTGCCCTCCACCAGTGCGCACAAGCAGGGGGACGGTGATGCCCCAGGCAAGCAGGCATGCATGCCATCCTTACCAGCAGCAGGCAGGGGGCTGCATTCCACCCCGGGCTGCAGGGTGTGAGCTTTTAGCTGCATGCTTCCACCAGTGTGTGCCTTGGATGGTTGAGCTTCGACAGTTTTCATTGCCAGGAGCGGCTCATACCTGCCAGTTGGTTTTGGTGCCCCCTAGCACCCCCCAGCGCCCCAGTTTGGGGTTGCAGTGGATAGGAGAGAGGGACACACCACGTGGGTGTGTGCATGCTGCAATTTTGACGGTGAACCAGCCAGCCTGATGCATTTCCAGGCTGCTGCAATTTTGTCTCCAGCTTCTGGTTAGCCCACCAGAGCTGCCAATTTTGACTCTTCAGCTTGTTTCGGAGCGTTTATTTTAGTATTATCTATCAATGTATTACTTGGTAAGCAAGTTATGTGATTGGTGAACAGTACATATGGTTGGCGATCATCGCGTCAGTTCTGTTTTTGGGCACTCGGGTTCCTTTGTCGCTGCCCGTGCTCGCGAGAGTTTCTTCAAAGCAAGTAGGGTAACTCTGTTTTTGGCGATTTCAAGTTCAAGAATCTTGAACTTGAAAATTACCATGCTGTACTCGGGCTTCAAGGAGTTCAGTATACAAATTCAGGATTTTGAGCTCAGGGATGATGCTGGTGCAGCTAGAGAAGCAGCCACACTGCTAGCAGCTCCTACCGTATGACACACACATTTAGGCCTCCTGCTGTTGCTTTGCTCCCGCCAGCCGTCCATCTTCCTGCCTAACCAACCCTTCCTCGTGAAGGGAAGGAAGGGAGCGGCATGAAGTGGCTCCCTCTTCGTCAAGTGATAGTACGGTGCTACGGTATGCGATCAACAATAGCAACAGTGACAGCAACTGCTGCAATTGCAGCAGCAACAGCGAAGGCGGCGACGGCAGCCACAGCAGTAGCAGCAGCAGCTGCAACAGAAACAGCCATCCTACAGGTAGCAACTTGAAGCAGTAGAGGGAGTGGCCCTCCAAACCAAGTGCCATAGCATAGACACGCTTCTTCAATCCGTTATCAGACAATATCAAGGATACTGCTTCGCATTATGAGACGGTTCCGGATATTATTTCTCACTCATGTATGGTGGCTAGTTTGAATCCTACATGTGAGAAGAGAGGACCACACAGCCCTAGGCTACAGCCTAAGCTTTAAGCTCACTTGTGCACTGTGCTTCCAAATGCACCAGCAAACCCACTTGAACTGCTGCCAGCAGCTGTGCCCAACCCCACAGATCCTCCCCCAAAACCACCACCACCTGCCCCAAATTCACCACCACCTGCCCCAAAACCACCACCACCACCACCTGCCCCAAACCCACTACTACCCGCACCAAACCCACCACTACGTGCCCCACCACCAGTGCCGGTTCCAAACCCACTGGTCCCTGCCCCAAAAACACCAGTGCCTGCCCCAAAACCACCGCTGCCTGCCCCAATCCCACTGCCGCCTGCTCCAAAACCACCGCTGCCTGCTCCGAATCCTCCTCTAAAACCTCCTCCTGTGCTTGCTCCAAACCCACCAAACCCTGTTCCTTGTTCCCCTCCCCCACTTCCCCCTTCAGTTTTTCCTGCCCCTCCCCCAAAACCCCCATTTCCAGCACCTTCACTTGACACAAACCCTCCTGCACTCGACCCAAACCCTCCTGCACTCGACCCAAACCCTACTGCACTCGACCCAAGCCCCACAGCCACACCAGCGCCACCAGCACCAGCACCAGCAGCACCAGCAGCAGCCTTCCCCCCACCATCGATTGCTCCTGTGTTTTTCTCACCGCCATCTCTTACACCAAAAGCGTTGCCTGCCCCACCAAAAGTGCTGCTTGCCCCACCAAAAGTGCTGCCTCCCCCACCAAACAGAGGGGCAGCAGAGGGAGCAGCAGAAGGGGCAGCAGCAGATGGGGAAGCATGAGGCGATCCAAACCCTGCTCCTAGCCTGCCAAACACACTCCCCGCTGCTGCTCCCGTGGCTGCAGGCGCTGCTGCCACCGATGCTGCTGCTGCTCCTCCGCCTCCCCCTGCTTGTGTGCCTGAAGCTGCTCCTGCGTGTGCCGACTTAGCTCCAAAACCTGGTGCTGATCCTAGAGGTGCTGATCCTATAGGTGCTGATCCTATAGGTGCTGATCCTATAGGTGCTGATCCTATAGGTGCTGATCCTATAGGTGCTGATCCTATAGGTGCTGACCCGAAACCTGGTGTTGCACCAAAAGCTGGAGTTGCGCCGAATGCTGGTGCTGCTGCGAATGCTGCTGTTTGCAGCCTGCCTCCTGCCCCTGCTGCCCCAGCTGCTCCAGCTACTCCAGCTGCTGCTCCCCCTCCTCCCCCTGCCCCTGACCCCACTGCCCTTGACCCCTTACCAGCCCCCCCCGCCCCTCCAGTGGCCACCTGCCTGAAGTCCTCCCCATCCAGATCTACCTGCCCCAGATACGCCCTCACTGCCGCCTCCACCTCCCCCCGCATCGCACACACCACCTCATACTCACCCACACTCGCACTCACACCTTCTCTACCACCCCCACCTCCTCTGCCACTGGCCCCCCTCCCTCTCTCCCCCTCCTCGCCCACAGCAGCAGCTGCCGCCAGCTGTAGTCTCAGCCGGTCCAGCAGGGCGTGCGGCTGCCACGTGACGCCCATCCGTTGCTTCGCCGTGCGGGGATCGGCCGATCGGACGGCTCTCCACGCTCGGAGCATGGCGAGGGCCAATCGGGACGCTTGGATGAGATGATTGAAGTCCAGGTAGACTCGAAGGAGTGATGAGGGGTCCGGAGCGATGAGAGGGGCGAGAGATGGGTTGAAAGGAGTGGAGACCAGTGCGAGGAAGGAGGGTGATGAAAGAGAGGAGGGGGCGGAGGCGAAGGGAAGGGGGATTGAGGAGGAAGGGGAGGAGGAACCTTCCAGGAAGAGACGGATGAGCCATGGAGGTAAGGGGAGAGCAGGGTTGGTGCCTAATATGGCTCGGGCTACAACGTCACGGAGGTTCGGATGGTGCCGAACGTACGTCTCGGTCCAAACCTGCATCTGCTGCCACATCAGCACCGGGGAGCTTGCCACATCAGCAGCAGCAGCACTGGCATTGGCTGACGTGGCAGCAGAGGCTGGAGAGGAGATGATGCTCGGATCCCGGGCAGCTGCAGGAGACAGCCCGAGCTGGGCCATGCAGCAGCGGCGGGCAGCTGCTGAAAGAATCGCGGATAGTTCAGCTGCCCGCTGGCTGCCCGAGAAGAAGAGTGTGGCGAGGTGGAGAGATTGGGGGAAGAGGGCGTTGTGAGCGCAGGCTGATATGATGTGGTGCGGTGGGGCGTCTGACGCTGGTGGGGGGAGGGAGAGGGAGAGGGGGGCAGAGGGAAGATCGGCAGATTATACAGAGGGCATTGTGAGCGCAGGCCAATATTGTTGGAGTTGGGCTAGTCTTTGCACTGTATCTTATTCTGGCCTTATATTATGCTTCTGGCCAGTTTTGGACTTTGTTTCAGTTCAGGTTCAGTTTAAGTTCATTTTGGGGCTTGTTCCTTGACTGAACGCACCCTAGGTTCATCTACGGTTTTCAATCTTCTTCCTCAAATGTATCTCGACACTTCTTGCTCAGATAACAACTTCTTCTACTCTTTCTAGCCATGCTGCTAGACTCACTTTAACAAATATGATTTGCTGTGGTGGGGCGTCTGAAGCTGGTAGGGGGGATGGACGCTAAACGTCAAACACTTGACCTTTTTTATTTTCTTTCCGGGGCAGCCGCCACTCAATTCCAGCACAACTAGAAAAGCGGATCACTTCCCTCAACCTGAAGCGGATCACTTCCCTCAACCTGAAGCGGATCACTTCCCTCAACCTGAAGCGGATCACTTCCCTCAACCTGAAGCGGCACAAACTCAGGGCTGGGAGAAATGCCGGCAGGCACGGGAAAAAGAGCTGCATCAAATCACTCCCAATCCGCATGCTGTCATAACCACCTCACTATACTCACCCTGAATGCACTCGAGCAGTGAGGTGTATTTTGAGGCGCACCAACCAAAATACATCAAAATCCGCATGCTCTCAAAACCACCTCACTGTGCTTACCCTAAATGCACTCGTACACGGTACACCATAAGTGATGACTTTTGAGTAAACTCAAAAGTCATTCCACGTGCTCTGAAAGGCTACTCCCTGTACTTTCCATTTGTGTACTTGTGCACAACAAGCCTGAGCATATGGAGCACTCCCGTCGTCCACTCTACTTACCCACTCTTACCCACTCTTACTCAATCTCACCCACTCTCACATACTCTTACCCACTTTTATCCACTTTTACCCACTTATACCCTATTTGACCCACTTTAGCCCACTCGTTTTCACAATGCTCTCTTACCCAGCAGCGCTGCAGTGGTCCCAAGACACGTGGCGAGCAGTGACTGGGCGGCCACAAGAGCGTGCTCCCTCCGCAGATCCTCCAGCCCCACCGGCTCAGTGCCGCTGCCCAATGACACGCCGCCACCTGTCCCTCCTCGCCACCTCCCCCTTTTAGCCGGACTCGCCTCTCTCCAGAATCCCCCCTCGCCTCGCTTCCGCCCATTCTCCCCCATCCTCCAATCCTCCTTCAACCCGTCCCTCCCACCACCGCTAGCACCATCACCATCAGCATCACCACCAACACCATCAGCATCAGCAGCAGCGCCCCTAGGAGGGAAAACTGAGACCATTGGAGGAAGCCATGCCTCCTGCCTCTCCCTCTCCTCCTCCTCTCCCCATCCCCTCTCACCTCCCACCCCACCCCTTCCCTCCTCCATACCCACACTCTCACTCCCCCGTCCCACACCCTTCCCCTTTCCTCCTCCCCTCAACCCCCCTCCTCCCCCTCCCCGCCCCTCCCCCTCCACCACCATCAGCTCCAGCGCCTGAATAGCCACAGCCAGGCTCATCTCTCTCAACCGCACTGCACTCAGCTTCACCTCGGGGATTCTCTCTGCACCCAGCGTCATCCCCGGGCTTCCCTTTACCCCTGGACTGAACACCCTCCCAGGACTAGGCTGGTGGTAACCAGGACTAAGCCCCTGCTTCCTCCTCCTATCCGCACTTCCAGCCGCAGCAGAAGCAGCAGCAGGAGTGGGAGTGGGTGCAGTGCGGTTGCTGCTGGTACTGCTACTGCTTGAGCCCAGAACTTCCCTGCCTAGTCGCCACGCGTATCGGTACATGGCCAGCGCGGCCTTCCTCCAATCAGATCGCGCCACGTGGAACGAGTACAGCAGCTTGTACGGGCTCACCCTGCCCAGCGCCGACGCTGACGTGGACAGCGGCAGCGACAGCGCCACGTCAGAGTTCTCAGCGAGCCACATCAGCTCCTGCTCCACCTGTACGTGCAGGTCAGCAGCAGCGTACGGCAGATCGCGGCCACACAGGGTAGACAACGCCCTCCCTGCCCTCTCTGCCTCAGCCGCTGCTGCTGCTTCCGCTGCGGCCGATGCTGCCGACGGTCCCGATGGCACTGACTGCGCTGCAGCGGTTCTACCGGCGGCTGTAGCGGCTGTAGCGGCGGCTACAGCAGAGCTGGCTGTGTCACAGAGAACAGCCACGAATTGCCGCAGGCAGATGCTGCGGGTGAGCGGGTCGGGGTTGGAGGCGAGAGCACAGAACGCCTCATCATACTGCCCGCCCTGCACCGCATACTCAAACACATTCGCCCACAGCCGCCCCTTCACCCCCCTCACCACCTCCCCACCTGCCCCTGCTCCCGCTCCCTCTGCTCCCGCTTCCTCTGCTGCCACTGCCGCTGCTTGTGAGTGCCGCTCCTCGTCGCGTTCGCCGTGGGAAGCTTCCGGGAAGGCGGCGTCGGTCTCGTGGATGGCGGCGAGGGCGAAGCGGGCGGCGGAGGGGTCCTCGCTGTAGCGCTGCAGCAGCCGCATCACCGCCTCGTAGTACCTCACCCTCTGCCTTGCTTCCGCTGCTGCTGCTGCTGCCGCTGCTTCTGCTGCAACACCTGCCGCGGGTTGTACGGTTGCTGCTACTACTGTACCAGTGTTGCTCCCCACGCTGTTGTTCGCGCTGTCACTAAACATCTCCAGTAGGCCTTGCAGCGGGTTCCCACCCTCTCCCATGCCTGCCCCCCCTTCCCCTCCCTCGCCGTCACCAGCTCCTGCTGCCCACACTCCCACTCCTCCCGCTGCCCGGAAGAAACATTTCACTGCCCGATCCACCAGTGCTGCCCGCATGGCCTCCCTTGCTGCTGACCCACGCCCTCCGCCCTCCCCTGCTGCTAAAAACGCACTCTGTCCCTTGCTGCTGCCACCGGCACTTGGCTGGCCACTGCTGCTGCTGCTAGTGGTGGCGCTTAGCTGAAACCAGGTGGGGAGGTCAGCAGGGACGTGTGCGCAGGCAACCAGTGCAAAGCCCAGGAGGAAAGAACGCGCTGCTGAGGCTTCAGGTTCGGCCGAACCAGAAGCGCTGGTTCGGGGAAGGGCTAAGGGGTTGTGGGAGAAGTGTGCGTCGCGATCGACACAGTCCAAGAGGAGCTGGGCGGACGGGTTTGGGGGCAGGAGGGAGGGGGAGGGGGGAGGGGAACGAGGTAGGCGAGTTTTGAGGTGGCTCAAAACTCGTCTCATTTCTCACGGATTTCATGTGCACCGCGATCGACACAGTCCAACAGGAGCTGCGTGGTTGGGCGAGAGGGTAAGTGGGGAGGGGAAGGGGGAGGGGGAAGGCGAATTTTGACTTAAGGCGCCTCAAAACTCGTTTCATTTCACAAAAAATATGTGTGCGTTGAAATCAACACAGTCCAAGAGGAGCTGGGCGGACGAGTGTGGAGGGCGGGAAGGGGGAAAGGGGAGGGAGAGGGCGAGTTTTGAGGCGCCTCATTTCACGCGGACTTAGTGTGCATTGCGGTCGGCACAGTCCAATAGGAGCTGGGCAAATGCGGAGGGGGAAGGCGGGAGGGGGAGAAGGCAGGCAAGAGAGAAATATTGATGCCCAAAATTTGGCAGTTGATGGGGGCTTGTATGATGTAGTACATACAAACAACCAAGTGCAAATACAAACAACCAAGTGCAAATACAAACAACCAAGTGCAAATACAAACAACCAAGTGTAAATACAAACAACCAAGTGCAAATACTGGCAATACAGAATATTAGCCCCAATTGGAACCTGCACCCCTTGATCCTGCAGCTTCAAACCCCGGTTGCCCTAAACCCTCGCAAACCTGATCGCCCGTCCTCACCTCGCAAACCACAACTTGAAAAAACCAGAACCCCTCGTCACCTTGCGCACATGGCACTACCAGTGCCCAGAGACCAGGCCAGAACCCACAACTTCAGTCCCATCTGCACCGGTCTACACCAGAATCAACCCAACGGATTTGAACGTAACCCACCAGTCGGCACTCACCTTCACCATGTAATACTGGCTCTGCTCCAACAGCCTCCGCCCCATCTGCACTGGTCTACACCAGAATCAACCCAATCCAGTTGAACGTACCCCCATTGAGCACTCACCTTCACCACGTGGTACTGGCTCTGCTCCAGCAACTTCAGCCCCATCTGCACGGCGCGATGGAGGAAACTCGGCGCTCCCACCCCCACCGTCCCTCCCTGCCCCTCCCCCACGCGCCCTTCAGTCTGCCAGGGGTCGCGCCCCCACCGCAGGCGCACAGCTTCACTCATCACTTCGCACAGCAGCCCCTCCCCACTCACACTTGCACACCGCCACCCCCCCACCACTCCCCCGCTTCCTCCCCTGCCTTCCAGTCCACCCCCCTCCTCCCCTCCCTCCATCTCCTCATCACTGCACTCCTCCCCTTCTTCTTCTCCCTCGCTTTCAGCCCCGTCAGAGTCCCCATCAGCTGTAAAAGACTTGTCTTCTTCTGATGCACTCCCGTGCAGCCACCACCCCCGCCACCTGCCCCCCAACACACCGCCTCCGCCCCTACCCCCTCCTCCGCCTCCTCCTCCCCCTTCCCTCTCCTCCTCACCCTCCCCGTCCAATAAAACAGCGACAACTGTCCGCCTAGCCCACCGAAACTGCACCTCTCGCCTGCAGAACCTTCCAAGAAAGTCTCCTTCTGCCCCTGCCCCTGGACCTGCCCCCCATTCCCCCACCCCTCCTCTCCTCCCACTGCCAAACCCTGAACCCCCTCCCCCTCCCCCCCTTTGCCGCACCCACCTCCCAGACCCCCGCATGCCCCCCACAGCCACGTCAGCATCGCCGTCCACGTCAGCAACGCCTTTCCCGCCAATATGCAGTGAGAGGAGATCCACAGAGAAATCATCTTCCGGGCTCCGAGCAGCAAAGGAGTCAGAGAGAGTGTGGAGGAGGAGGGTGGAGGAGAGGAGGGAGTGAGTGCGGGGCAGCAAGCGGCGAGAGAGAAACGAGCGGTCGGAGGGGGAGAGGAGGAACGGGGAGCGGGAGAGGTGGAGGAAGTGGAGGAGGGGGAGGAGGGAGAGGAGGAGGTGGAGGTGGGAGCCTAGCAAGAGGGTGAGACCGTGGGAGAGCTCTAGGGGAGAGAAGAGGGAGGGGGGGAGAAGGTTGCTGATTGGTAGATCATCTATTTCCCCACTCCCGTTCTGCCCTTCCGCTGCTGCTGCTGTTGATGCTGCACCTTGGGACCCACAGGAGGCGGATGCACCGAGCGTACCCAGATCCATACTCGTTACAAGCAGCTCCACTATCTCGAGTACATCCCTCCACTTCCCTCCTGCTGCGTCTTTCAAATTGCCCAGGGCAGCTTGCAGCTTCACTGCAAACACCCTGTGCTCCGTGTTCTGCTGCGAAACAAATTCCCGGGCAGCCGACCGCAACCTGTTCACGCTGCCCGAGCTGCCCGGCGCCAGCTGCCCGAACTCCAAAAACTTTGCCACGTGTGCAAATGCATCAGCAGGCTGCAGGGACGGCGAGAGGAGACACGCGGGCAGCGCCAGCATGACCAGCCTACCCACTCGCCCGCGAATCAGCTCCAGACAGCTGGCAAGCTCTCCCAACACCGCCGCCAGCTGGCGCTCCTCCATTGGCTGCCGGATTCCTTGGCTGCCCGAGTTCAACCTGCCCGAACCGGGTCCGACCAAAGCTGGTCTTGCGGAGGCCAGGGAACGAACCACGGTGGGTGAAAGGAGAGGCGGATTGCCTCCCAAACTGCCTCGCTCCCCACTTGCTGGGCCTGCAGGCCCTGCTGTAGTGATTCCTGTGGGCATTCCAGTGGGCGTTGCTGTAGACACTGCTGCTGCACGCCCTGCTGCACTCACTGCTGCAGGTACGGCAGAGCACCACAGGTTTACCTGCATTGACACGTCAGGCGCTTGCACCAGAGACACTGTGCATCCCCGAACCACACCGATAGCCCCGGTACCCGAACCTGCCCCTGAGCCTGGACCTGAACCGGCCGTTGCAATCAGCCCCACGGGTGTGTTTACGGCAGTCCAGGCTCGGAGGTATTGCTTTGCCAAGTGCTCCCACCGATCCACCAGCCGAACCAGATCGGCAGGCTCGCCCCCGGAGCTGCCCAGGAGGCTCGGCAGCACCTGCAGGTCCGGCCGGCGGTCCAAGAGATAGGAGACGAGAGCCTGCCGAACCGCATCATGGCTCATCCGAGCCACATCTTCAGGCTTGGGCGATCCGAACGTCCCATTCCGTTGGCTGCCATAGGGGAAAAACTCCTGGTCGTGCTGCTGTTGCTGGTTCTGCGGGTGCTGGTGGTGGTAGTGCCGGTGGTGGTGCTGCAACCAAGCGAGCAGATGGGCTAGCGCGGGCTCGAGCAGAGCAGACGGGCAGAGCAGACGAGCAACGAGAGCATCGGCACAAAACTCAGTTACAGCGCTCCAATTCACTGCATCACCTGCCCCTCCTGCTCCTGCTCCTCCTCCTCCTCCTCCTCCTCCTGCTTCTCCTCCTGCTGCTGTTCCTGCTGCCAGTAATCCGCCCTCTCCTTCCCCTGCAGGGGATCCGCTGGGTGCGGCACAGAGGACAGGGGAGAGCTCGAGGAAGGGAACGAGGCCCAAGGCTGCCACCAGGCTCGCCCTACTGCCCATATCAGCAAACGCAGTGGCTGTCACGGCTGTAGCGGCTGTAGCAGCAGGTGCAGAAGCAGCTGCTCCTGCTGGCCCACTGGCTGACGAGGAAGCTACAGGCGGGGGGGAGAAGAACTGGTGGAGGGTCGAGTCTGAGAGGCCAAGCGAGGCTGATAGCTGCTGCTCCGCCAGCTGGCAGGCGCTGATTGGTGCGTACAATGGGGACGGAGGAAGGGGAAGAAGTTGCTGCGAAGATGCCGCCGCCGCCGCCGCCGCTGCTGCTGCTGCAGCTGCTGCGTCCCGTGGTGCAGTGCCAGTGGCGGTGCCATCGCTGTCGAACAGCACACGGCGCACAGGCAGGCAGACCGTGTGGTGCTTCGCTGATGTGCCTGATGGGGCTGATAAGACTGTGCCTGTGCCTGTGCCTTCACGACCACGCCCTTCCTGCAGCAGCATCCACACGTCCACCTCCTTCCCACCGCCCGCCCCTTCTCCGCCCCCTCTGCCCCTCCGGCTCCCGCCACCACCACCTGCAGCCAGCAGCACGCGAACGTCTCTGATCCACAGCCTCTGACCCCCGCCTTCCCCCTCATCCCCCGCCCACTCCCCCACCTCCTGCTGCTCGCCTGCTGCTGGCCGTGCCCCGCCCGGCCCCCTCTCGCCCCCGCCCCTCTCGTCCGTTACCCCTCTGCTGTCACCGTCCCACGCGCCATGGTCACAGCTGCGCGCCGTGGGCGCGCGGGGCAGCGCGCTCCAGGCGGCCAGGCGGAGCGAGGCGGAGGCGGACGCGGAGGCGGAGGCGCGCGCGGGGTCAGGGGAAATGCGGAGACGGAGGGAGTGAACGGTGATGAGACCAGCAGGGGAGGGGGACATCTCCGCGTGCTGCTGCCTGCTCTCTTGCCTGCCCTGCTGCTGCTGCTGCTGCTGCTGCTGCTGCTGGGGGCACCAAGTGGTAATGACCAGTAGAGACTGGGTGGCGGCAGCTGCGCTGGTGGTGGTGGTGGCGGAGCGAGTGGGGCCAGGCGCGGGGCGCAGAAGGATCTGCTGGACGGCCCATGCGCCTGGAGGGGGAAGGGGAGAGGGAGAGGGGAGAGAGGAAAGGGGAGAGAGGGAGGGTGAGGGGAGAGGGGGAGGGGGAGAAGAGTGGGGGGAGAGTTGGGAAGGGGGAGCAAGGGGGGGAGGGGGGGTGAGGTGGTGGGGGAGAGGGAGTCGTGAGGGGATAAGCGGGTTAGGGGTGGTACAGTGGAGGGCGAAAGGAGAGAACGAGAGAGTGGAAGTGGAGAGCGTAAGATACGAGCAAGCATGTGGCGCAAGCAAGGGAGGTTCAAAGCGCTAGCTCGCACGCAACTCACCGTCACAGCTCCCCCCTGCCTGACCCGCGCCCGCAGCAGCCGCCGCTCCGCCCGGCCCCCACTCTAAGCAAGAATGGTATGAGCAAGAAAGCTTTACAACTCTAAGCAGCACACAACTCACCGTCACAGCTCCCCCCTGCCTGACCCGCGCCCGCAGCAGCCGCCGCTCCGCCCGGCCCCCACTCTAAGCAAGAATGGTATGAGCAAGAAAGCTTCACAACTCTAAGCAGCACACAACTCACCGTCACAGCTCCCCCCTGCCTGACCCGCGCCCGCAGCGGCCGCAGCTCCGCCCGGCCCCCACTCCGCCGCCACCGTCACCGTCGCCACGCGAACCTTCCTCGAAACATCCCACACCCTCACCACGCCATCTGCGTGCGCAACCGCAGCCAATCCCTGCCCGCCACGCGTCAGCAGCTGAATGGACCGCACAGGGGCGAGAGCCGCGCCCCTGCCTGCGCCTACCATCCCCCACAGGCGCGCCATTGCGCCCTCGCCCTCCCGCAACTCCGCCACCCCCGCTCCGCCAGACGCTTCCCTCTTTATAGCGCCACCCGTTACAGGCACAACAGGGTTGGCGAGTTTGTGGAACGGAACGGCGAGAACGCTACCCGAACCTCCGCCGAGGCATACCGTGTCCAGGCCGGCTGCTAGTGACGTCACACCGCTACCGAGCCTAGAGGCGAGGTTCGGCGGGAGCTGAAACGAGCGCAAGCAGCTGAGGGAGAAGTTACCAAGGAGGGAAGATTCGGAGGGTTTTGTTCCCGTACCGCCGCCAGGCCTGATGTTGAACCTGGAAGCACCGTTTAGGCGAAACCCTAAGCCACTGGCATCGTTCAATGCGCTACTATGGCTGTCAAGCCCGCCAAACCCTAGGTCTACGGAGTAAATCACGCCATCTGCGGACAGCAGGTACAGCGACACGCGAGAGAATCCCGATTCGAGCCCACCGCCATCCTCCTCATCGTCTTCATCCTCGTTATAGGCATCCTCGCTAAAATCCCCGTCGTCGGCACTCTCGGGGTTGCGCTCGACGACAAAGGCTGCGAGCGGGAGAAGCGGCGAGGGGAACCGTAGATGCACCTCGTGCGATCCCTGTCGTTGAGAGAACTGGCGAGCGACCGCAGCCGCGGATGTTCCTGTAACGAGCGGAGCGGGCTTAGACGCGGGGAAGGACGAATTCGGAAACAGCTCTTTCAAAACAAGAACGGAATGCGACTGGCGGATTTCGGATCGGATCTGCCACGTCAGCAAGCATTGACTTGGTTGAACGGAGTCTGCTCCCCGAGTCTGAAGCACCGAACCCCCCCCAAGACACGTCAGCGCGTCGGGATGCAATGCTACGCTAGGGCTTTGTGCTGAGCTCGCACTCGGAGTAGTTCGCGTCGCGTGAGGGACGGTAAATTCCCTCCATGCGTCCTGAATGCCGAAGATCCGAGTCTCCATGGCTGCAGATGACCGTTACTTGCTGGCTGCGTTAGGTCTGACTGAGACTGGGTTTAATTTCTGAATTAACCCTCTTGTTGACGGCTACTTGCCGCCGATATCCCGATATTGTTGTTGACTGATCGCAACGCGATCGTTACGCGACGCTGATTTTGAGGATCCCGATTGCGACCGGACGCGATTGGACAACGCGGTGCGATTCTTAGGGGAATTGATCATCGGCGCGCTCGGCCAGGAAAACCAAGAAAACCGAAGCTCAGAACTAGTAGCTGAAAACCACCAGCACATCAAAGCATCGAGCTCAAATGTCGTCGTCAGGTTTACCTTTTTGTTTCTACTTAAAACTAGAATCGCATCGGCACCAGCGCGTCGGATGAAGTCGTCGGACTACGCCCTAACGACTAGCAGGTCCCTAACTGGCCAGTCCCGACCAAGGCACCAGAACCGAATGAACTAGGCTGATCAGGGACTAAATTTTCGTTTCCAAGATCCGTGCGTGGCAGGGAATCATCTGGATGCTCCTTGTTCCCGCTCTTCCTCTTGCAGCCTGGAAATTTGAACTTTTGGGATGTTTGGCGAAAGTGTAGTGTAGTGTAACCCTGGCGGCCTAACCGAGCGAAAATGGTAGCCGCAACCTGTACTCGATTGTAGGGCTGACTTGCACAAGTACACCTCTTTGATTTCTGAAGCTACGAGTCACTGAAATCCAATCCTTAGTCCAGAAATTGCTCCAGCTCATACAAGCGACAATCCGAACAGCCAATCACCAGGCGTCGGCTCGGCAAAACCAAGGGCTAGGAAACTCTCAGCCCCTCGCACCCACAAACGCAACCCCTCAACCCTCTTCCTCAACCTCCCATCAAAACCTCAGCTGAGGATTAGAGCTCTACAGCTTCGCACTTGGCCCCACTGGTGTGTGGCTCAAATCGTGCCCCAACTCTTTATCAACTCAACGCTCGCACTCCATTCCTCCCACCTCTCTGTTTCTCGTTTGTACTCGCTGCTGATCAGCCCGATATTCGAATCGTGGCCTTCGATCCGCCACTGCCTTGCCGCACGAACCGGCACGCGTCAGCGGGCGCGGCGCACGAGTCTTCGCTTCTTGCGGATCGAGATCGATATCGTCTTTCTTTCTTTTGCAGATTCGGCCCTAGGAATCGATTTTCGCATATTGGTCTTCGAGGTTCGATTCGACCCTGATCGGATCTGATTCGCCACCATGCCCCCGCCTACAAGCGCCAGCGGCGCCACAGTCGCCGCGGTCTCCGTTACAACGACGCGCCTTTTAATCACCTACCACCCACACGACCTGCCGCCCGGCGGCGATCCGCTCGTAGTGAGCAGCCCAGCGCCTCTTTATAAGTACTCTCGATACGAGCCAGCAGGGCTCTCCTTCCACGAAGCTGCGAAACGACTGGCGGGATTCCACGCGGCGGGGGAGGAAGATGCGGAGGAAGTGGACGAGGGAAAGGGCGAGAAGGTGAAGGACTCAGTCGATTCGTCGGCGTGGGAAAGTTCGCGGAAGAAGAAGAAGGGGAAGGATGGGAAGGACGCGGAGAAGCAGGAGCAGGATCACTACGCCCTGCTGGGCATGGCACACCTGCGTTTCCTAGCGACAGAAGACCAGCTTAAAGCGACGGGCAACTTTTGGCAGTGTTGGGTTCAGAAGTTTTTTTTTTTAACCAGGCTTGCCAGCGCGAAAGTGCTGGCTGGCGAAAACCAGGATTTCGTGCGGACACTTTCCATCCGCAGTAACAGTTCGCCAGGGTTCTGGGTTTTGGGTGGCAAATGTGCACCGTCGCTTTAAGAAGGCGTACCGGTGAGTGCGATCACGGAAGCGTGTTGTGATCGATTCTGTAAATTGGAGGGAGAAAGTGGAGAGATACGGAACGTCTCAGTACACACTGTTGGGCATGGCGCTCCTGCGGCATCTGGCGACAGAGGATCAGCTTAAGAAGGCGTACCGGTGCCCGCACAGAAACGAACAGAATGGTTTTGTGAGATATAACGGCTTGGTTCGCGTTGCTGGGTATGGCGCATCTGCTGCATCTCGCGACGAAGGATCGGCTCAAGAAGACGTACCGGTGAGTGCGATTACGGAACCGAACAGATCATTCCAAGAGAGCGTGTTTGTGAGAAAGGTTGAGAGTGGTTCAGTGAGATATGGAACGGCTTGGTACGTGCTGCTGGGACTGGCGCACCTGCGGCATCTCGCGACGGCGCATCGGCTCAAGAAGGCATATCGGTGAGTGAGATCATAAAAACCTTTATATGAGAGGACTTTTGAGGCGCGTCAAAAGAAGGCCTATCGGTGAGTGAGATCATAAAAACATTTACATGAGTTTTGAACCGTCTCAAAAGTCGTGGGCTTATCTCGGCGAATGAGAGCATAAGAACCTTTATATGAGAGCGCTGAGGCGAGCTGGTGAGAGCAAGAGATGCGTGAGAAGTATTGTACGGTCGAGGGTTCTGCGGTCTCTCTCTGGCGAGAAAGGACCAGCCAGGAGAAGTGCGGAGCAGAGTTGCTTTTGGGATCTCTCTTGAGCAACTCCACCACAGAGGCTCCAGAGAAAGCGCACAGTACTAGACTAGACTACGAGAGGCGAGAAGTGTGAGATTTGAAAGTGCGGCTCGGTGCACACCGGTGGGTGGAACAGCAAGGGGGGGAAAGAGAGCCTCCATCGAAAGTGTCAGTCCGAGGGAGTGTCAAGTTGAAACTTATAATGAAACACATGAGTTTGAGAAAGCATTTACCGTGGGCAGACCAAATGCATAGGGTTACTGATGCGTTTCGCTAAATCGTTCAAAGAAACCGCATCAGATTCCTTCCAGGGCTGTCATTTTGCTGTTGTAAGCTGAGTCAGAGTCGACCTATGTTCCGTTTGTGAAGGTTTTCGGGTTCGCTATTTCATAACCTGCCATGGGTCCTCGGGGAAAGCACATCAATAACTGCTCACAGGGGCGTCATATGTTTTACCAAGTTACCTCCAATCAAACGGCATTCATCAAACGCGCTTGCTATTCCGTTCCTCTAAACCTCAAAACCTTCTCTGCCTTCGCCCTTTCCCCGGTCTCCCCCTTGACTTGCCATTCGTTCTCACTTCCCCGGCACGCTCTGTGCTCCGATTCCGCCTCATTCTGGATAGTCCGCCTCTCTCTTGTTTCTCCTCTCGTATAATCCTGTTTCATCTGTGTTCTTTTTTAACCAAAGAACTCTCGTTTACCCCAAAACTCTGAAACGTGGCACATTGAAATCCAGAACCTTGGTAGTCCCAGAACCCTGTACCTTGTAACCTTAGAATTCCTGAATCCCATCAAGTTACAGAACCTCAGAACCCACGTAACCCTTGGTGCACTCCTTTGCACACCACAGGAGCAAGCCTCTGTGCTGCATTGGTTGAGCCGACTCAAAAGATGCGGTTCAAAGCGCACTGTCTGTCTAACTGACCCATCCCCCATCCCTCGTCACTGCTTCTCACTCACCCCACCCCATCCCACCCCATCCCACCCCACCCCACCACACCAGAGATGCAGCACTGCGCTTCCACCCGGACCCGGACAAGCAGGCCGCAATGCTGCTGGAGGAGCAAAGAGGCGAGACGAGAGCAGCAATGAAGGGAGAAATCGAGACCAAGTTGAAGGCCATTCAGCTGGCTGCACGGTCTAGCTTCTGGTCCATTCCCCGTCATGCCTACTCACCGCTTCTCACCCCACCCAACCCCACCCAACCCCGCCCCACCCCACCTCACCCCACCACACCAGAGATGCGGCACTCCGCTTCCACCCGGACAAGCAGGCGGCAATGCTGCTGGAAGAGCAAACAGATGAGGCGCGGGCAGCCAAAAAAGAAGAGATCGAGACCAAGTTCAAGGCGATCCAGCTTGCCTACGAGACCCTCTCAGACCCCGCCAAGCGCCGAGTGTACGACTCTACGGATGAATTTGACGATGATATTCCAACCGATTGCTCCCCAGAGAATTTCTTCAGAGTTTTCGGCCCGGCTTTTCAGAGAAATGCCAAGTGGTCGGTGATTAGCCCGACGGAGGTCCGGGTTTAGGGGACGAGAACACGCCGGTTGCCGAGGTGGACAAGTTTTACGATTTCTGGTGGGCGTTTAAGAGCTGGAGGGAGTTTCCTAACGAGGATGATTATGACGTGGAGAGTGCTGAGAATAGGGAGCACAGGAGGTGGATGGAGCGGCAGAATGCGAAGCTTAGGGAGAAGGCAAAGAAGGAGGAGAGTGCGAGGGTTAGACAGTTAGCGGAGAATGCTTATAAGCAGGACCCGCGGATTCTGAGGAGGAAGGAAGAGGAGAAAATGGCAAAGCAGAGGAAGAAGGAGGAGAAGCAGAGGGAGAGGCAGGCGAAGGAGGATGAGGGGAAGAGGAAGGTGGAGGAGGAGAGGAGGCGGAAGGAGGAGGAGGATAAGCGGGCGGCGGAGGAGGCGGCAGTTATGAAGAAGCAGAGAGAGAAGGACAAGAAGGCAGCGAGGAAAGAGCGGGCGAGGCTGAGAGCAGCGACGACGGATTGTCTTGAAGCCGCCCCTGTGGTAACCAGCAAGCAAAGAAAACAGCAGCAGCAGCAGCAGGAGAGGAAGGGAGAGGAGTGGGAGACTCCAGTAACAGAAGAGGAGTTGGAGAGTCTGGGGCAGGCCTTGGAGCTGGAGAAGCTGCGAGCGCTCTGTGACAAGCTGGAATCCTTGTCCGCTTCTGCTGGTTCTGATGCTGCTGCTGGCACTGCAGCAGTGAAGCGGCAAACCCTCCGACTGTTCTCCACCGCTCTGAAAGTCAACCGGTGGGACGGGCACAGTCCGGACTTTGAGTACCAGCAAATCCCCGTGGTTCTGTCGGAATCTGCGGCAGCGGCGGCGGCGGCAGCAGCAGCGGAGCGAGAGGCGGAGGCTGAGAAAGAGAGAGAGGCGAGAAGGGCGGCAGGGGGGAGTGGGAAGCCGTGGACGCGGGAGGAGATAGAGCTGCTGAGGAAGGCGGTGGGGAAGTTTCCCAAGGGGACGGGGCAGCGGTGGGAGGTGATAGGGGAGTATTTAGGCACGGGGCGATCGGCAGAGGAGGTGGTGCGGGCGACCAAGACGGTGCTGCTGCAGAAGCCAGACGACACCAAGGCGTTTGACAGCTTCCTGCAGGTGGGTGGGGTGGGGGTTAAGGATTCGGGATTAAGGTTAAGGGTTTAGGGACCAGGTTTGGTGGTTGCAGTAGGTGTGGCAGAAAGAAAGCTGAGGAAGGCGGTGGGCAGGATTGAGGTTTGGGGGTTGTGGTACACAAGGCAGCGGTGGGAGGTGATAGGGGGGGAGTATTTAGGCACGGGGCGATCGGCAGAGGAGGTGGGGCGGGCCACCAAGACGGTGCTGCTGCAGAAGCCGGACGACACCAAGGCGTTTGATAGCTTCCTGCAGGTGGGTGGGAGGAGTTTTTAAGGATTGGGGTTTGGGAAGTTGCGGGTCGGGTGAGGCAGAGGGAGGTGGAGCGGGCCACCAAGCTGGAGAACAGCAAGGCGGTTGACAGCTATATGCCGGTGGGTGGGGGTTCACGGATTGGTGTAACGGGTTGAAAGGTTGGAGGTTGTGTGTCCGTGTCAGGGTTCTGGGTTTGGGGTTAGGGAGTGGGATTTGGGAGTTTGGGTTGGGGTATAGTTGTGGGACCCTCCTGTTCTTTCTCGTCCACTTGACTCTCTCCCTTCGTCCCCCACCTCCCTATCCCCTCAACAGTGGCGCAAGAACTCGAAGGACAGGGATAGGACATTGTGTCGCCTCTCCTCATTCACATCCCTTCGAGATGGCACCTTTTTTAGTCGTCTCTATAACCCCCCACTCCACCCACTCCCACCCACTCCCACCACTCCCATCCCTCCTCCCCAAGCAGCGTCGCAAGAACCCCAAGGACATTGCCTCGCCTCTCTCCACTCGTGAAGAAGTTGATGCTGCCGCTGCTGCTCCTGCTGCTGCTGCTGCTGCCGCTGCTGCTGCTCCTGCAGTTCCTGCCTCGTCAAATTCACCAGCTAAAGCAGCAGGAGCAGGAGGAGCAGCAGCAGCATCAGGAGCAGCACCAGCAGCAGCACCAGCAGCAGGAGCAGGGAAACAAGCAGGGGCAAAAGCAGCAGCACCACCTGCAGCAGCAGCAGCAGCAGCAGCGCCAGTGGCGAATGGAGTGGGGGCGGCAGGCAAAGGGGCGAGTCCCGGGGCAAAGGGCGCACAGGAGGGGGAGTCAGCAGGCGCTGCGAATGGTGTGGCTGCCGAGGCAGGTGCAGCCGGGGCAGGTGCTGCTGGTGCGGGTGCATCTGCAGGGGCAGAAGGGGCAGTGGATGTGTGGGGCGAGGCACAGGAGGTGGCGCTGGTGAAGGCACTGAAAGCCTTCCCCAAGGACACTGATAAGAGGTGAGAGCTGGCTTGTCTTGGCTCCTCGTTCCCTTCTTCGTCATTCTCTGGCTCTGGTGAGGGCTTAAAACCCGAGTCCCAAATTGCGAGGCGCGTGGGTCATGCTTTTAAAACTTGACGAAGTGCAGTGTGCAAGCTTTGAAAAGTAGCGCACCTGCAATTTGGGACTTTCGGGTGCTGACACAACCCCCAGGGCGAAATACGTGGGCTGGCTGGTTTTGGCGAAAAAAACGAAATGCCCGAAATCGGAATCACTCGCCAAAGCCCAAAGCAGGAAAACCCCTCGCGTCATCCTTTTAAAACTTGTGCAATTTGGGCTTCCGGCTTTAACCATTCCCCAACAACACACACGCACAGTGAGAGCTGGCTTGGCGTCTCACTCTCCTCCACTCTCCCTGATTTCCTGCTATCACGTCCTCTCTTTCCCCCACTCTCTCTTCCTCACCTCTCTCTCTCCCTCACCTCTCTCTCTCGTGCCCATTCTCTCCTCCGTTCCCTCTCTCTCCTCCTCCTCCTCCTCCTCCTCCTCCTCCTCCTCCTCCTCCTCCTCCTCCTCCTCCTCCTCCTCCTCCTCCTCCTCCTCCTCCTCCTCCTCCTCCTCCGCCACCTCCGCCCAATTCCCCACTCTCCTACCATGAGTCTCCCATCATCCACTCCAGCCTCCCTGCCCTTTCCCCACTGGTTTTGCCAACTTAATGAACGTTCTCCGGTTCTGTCACCTTTCCACATTGCAGAGCTGTTACTGAGGCATTTCTACTTTTCTTTCTTTCTTTCTTTCATTCTTTCTGTTTTTTTTTCTTTCTTTCTTTTTTTCTTGCTCTGTCTGCCTGCCACGCAGTGTCTGCCCTCATACCCTCAGCCGAGCATCTCAATCCTGTCCTTACCCCACACCCCTTGTGCCCCGTCATACCTGTGTACCAGGTGGGACCGCATAGCAGCTGCAGTGCCGGGCAAGAGCAAGGCGCAGTGTTTCAAGAAGTGTGTTGTTGCTTTACCTCATCTGCTCCCGTGCCCTGTGTGCCTCTCATCCACGCCCCTCATACCAGGTGGGACCGCATAGCAGCAGCAGTGCCGGGCAAGAGCAAGGCGCAGTGCTTCAAGAAGTTCAGCGAGCTCAGGCAGAGCTTCCGAACCAAGAAGAGTGGTGCGGCGGAGTAGTGTGGTCCGGGAAGGGAGTGGTGCGGCGGAGTGGCGTGCATGCAGTGAGCTCGGGCAGAGCTTCCGAACCAAGAAGAGTGGTGCGGCGGAATGGTATGCATGGCTTGGTGTGGGGGGCGCTGGAGCAAGCAGGAAGAGGAGCCAGAGCTTCCGATTCAGGAAGGGTGGCGCCATGGAGTAGTGTGGTTAGGAAAGGGAGGTGGTTGGTTGTTGCCTTGGCTGTTTGGTTGAATGGGGGTTGTTGTGAGTGCCGTCAACACAGAGCAGTGGTTGAATGGGGGTTGAGATGGTGATGACGTGAGAATGGCAGCAGCTGTGGTTGCAAGAGCTGGTTGTTTTGTCCAGCTTAGAATGGCAATGCATAACATTTTCTAAGCAAGAGGGGAAGGAATAGAGCTACGGTAGGTCAACGAATGAGATGACATTTTTATTGTTTAGTTATAAATGCAATGCGGTACTTTGAAAATTCTCAACGCGCTGGAGGTTTTACAAACACTTGGCAACAACATCAACTTTGATGTGGCGGAACAATCGCATACCGTAATCCCCCGTATATAGGACCCCCCCCCAGTTGTAGACCCCCGGGTCTATAATACGGACCCGAGTACTCTATTCGAGTACATCTGAGTTATACCCCCCTAAATGGCTCCTAACATTATAAGGCCCCCCACATCCTAGAGATGTGCGGATTATACAAAAATGCAATTGAAAATGGTCATATTGAGAAAGCTTGCTTTCTTATTCTTATCAATTGGCATCGTTCTCATTACAAATGGGCATCGTTCTCATTACAAATGGCTTATTACAACATTTGCATCAACGTTGAACACAAGCTAGTGCAATCTAATAACACTAGCTAAGATGTACCCTATCCAAGTGGCATTAGCAAGGCGGTTTACTCTGGGGTGGGTGGTGGGAATGTTGAGTGAGCTGTTTGAAAATCGATAAACGTGGGTGGAGGGAAATGAACTCCAACCCACGGTTTTTTTAGTTGGAGAAGGGCGTTTAGCGCGCTTCGACGATGCCAATTGTGCAGTACAAGCAGCTTCGCTTTCACAATACACAATTTTAAAAAACACAATGTGTGTTTAAAATTTATAATATTGAGAAAGCTTGCTTTCTTATTCTTATCAATTGGCATCGTTCTCATTACAAGTGGGGTCTCTGAGACATGGGCAGCGGGGGCCTCTGGTTGCGTACGAGTGCCTATGTGTGTTGTGCTGATGACGCGGCATGCGTCGGGTCTTGTAGGTTACGGGAGGCTTCGATAAGAGGCTCAACGTATGGCGTAACATACATTTCCTTTGCTGAGTCGCTTCGCCATCTACCCAGCCGTTTGAAGACCCTGTCTGGCACTCCCGTGTTGGCTGCTACTGTGGCTGCACCTTTTCGGAAAGAATGTGTGCCGAGCTGCAGCTCTCCAAGGCCAACCTTTGCGAAGGCTTCCTTGCACCAGTTCCGGATCGTGGTGTATGAAGGTGGCCTTGCCTGGCCCTCGCTGGTTGAAGCGTGGCCGAAGACCCGAATCAATGGTCCCTCTGACCGTGGGCCATAGCCGGCCAGTTGGATGAAGCGTCGGGTGCAGCGCACTGGGCAACAGGGGTCTGCCGTTGCTGCAATGGGTATCCAGGTGCCATGACCAGCCTGATCGGTCTTGGAGTGTGGTATGAGAATCCACATGACCTCGTCGTCGAATTGGATGTCTTGCCATTTTATGGCTACTAGGTCAGAATATCGCAGGAATCCTGAGTACATGAGGATGGGGATCAACCCTTTCTGAAACGTCGTGGGATCGTCGGACTGCAAGTAACTCGCGGCCATGTCCCGGACTTGTTGGATCGATACGGGTTCCTTCATACGAGTAGGGCGAGGGCAGTGTCGTTTTGCACAGTCACGGACTTGGGTGGTGAACGGTCCGGTTGTCGGGCATTTGCTCCCAGTCATGCGATGAGCGAAGCTGACCACCGAGCACGTCAGCTGCACTACGGACAGGGTGGCTTTGCGTCGGATTGCGTGTACCAGGTAGAGCGCGAGGGTCATGTCGGATGCCGGAAGAAATGGGAGGTTCACTTTTGTGCAGAAGGGTCGAAACTTGGCCAAGTATGGTTCGTATGTCCGGATCGTAGAATCGGCGCGAGATTGCGCGAGCATGTTAATCATTTGGTCGTGTAACTTTGGGAGCAAATCTGAACACAAGGCGTAGACATTTTGAATTAGTCAAATGCCACTCTCAGTGCAATAACTGGGCTGTGCGGTAGTCCCATGCCTGAAAAAGCATTGGAATGGGACCCTGCGTCTAGGCATTGGCTTCCGTGTGTCAGAGAGATGTGCGCGTGGATGTGTGGAGCCCAAGTGCATGGGGAGGGTTGCAAAAGTGGCCACCAGCTTGCGCCTGGCCAGTGCGGAACTATCAGTGTGAGTGATGCATGGGTGCGTTGTGCGTGATGGAGGACGGCTGGGACCAGTTGGGGCGGGGGGAAGGCGAAGTTGTTTTCGGGTGTCCACGCGATCGAGAACGCATCGACTGCGATGGCTTCCGGGTGGGGAATCTTTGTGCAGAAGCGCGGCAGTTGGGTGTTGCGGGAGTTTGCGAAGAGGTCGATGGAGTGGGCCCCCCAACGACGTTCCAAGATGCGGAACCACGGCGTTTTCAGCGCGTAATCGTCATGGTCGACCATTTTTGAAAGTTCGTCGGCGTGTGTATTGAGCTCGCGCGGAATCCATTCGATGATCAAGCGCGTGCCGAGCTCCATGCATGTTCGGATGATGCTCTTGCATGCCGTTGTGAGGTCGGGGCTGTGAGAGCCGCCTTTGCGAAGGATGAAGAATACGCCCCGGTTGTCCAACCGCACGAGAACGTGTTTTTGCTCGATCTTGTTCGCGTATGTTTGGAGCGCCCAAAGGACGCCTTCGATCTCCCGTCGCGTGCTGGACGTTCCTCGTAGCGCCTCTGACATGGTTGCGCTAGCTTCTTCGAGGCCGCCCGGAAATGTGGTCAGAGTGGCACCCCAACCATGAGAGCTGGCATCCACATGGATTACCGCGTCGTAGCTGTTCCTGACGTGAAAAGGTGCGCCGTTGAAACGGTCAAACTCCTCGAGCCAAAATTGGAGCTCCTCTGCTGCAGATGGGGGGATAACCACGCTGCTTTTCCATGACGGTGCTTCGTTGATCACTTGTAACATAGCGTGGCTGAATGCGCGAGCGGTCGCGCCAAGTGCGACACCCATCGATGCAAGCATGCCAGTGATTCTGGCCACGTGGCGGACCAGGACTGGTTGGCATGCCCTGCTTGCGCTCAGGAGGTTCCGGATGGTTGCATGTAGTGAGGCTCGTCGGTCGGGACCGATGGAGAATCGGCCGGTGTCGGTCTCCAGTTCTACGCCCAGGAATCGGAGATGTTGCGATGGTGACAGTTGTGATTTCTTCGCGTTTATCACAAGGCCTGCCTCTTTAAGGTCCAATATCACCCGCTGGCAAATTGCTTGCGCATCGGCTTTCGACTGGCAAAGAAATAAGATGTCATCCACGTAAGGTACGACTCGGATGCCTTGTTCTCGCCAACGCCGAGCTAGTTGCTTGATGAGCTGTGTGAAGACGAATGGAGCCGTCGCGAGGCCGAATGGTAGTGAACGAAATGCGTATGTGCGCCTATCGAATTCGAAGCCAAGGAACTTCCAGCACGATGGGTGGATGTCGATGTGATGGTAACCAGATTTGAGGTCAATGGAGAACATCCAGTCCCCAACGCGCGCCAGGTCGGCGACACGGCTGAACAACTCATAATTGAACTTGGGGACAATCAAGTTGGTGTTGACTTTTCTCAGATCAAGAATGAGCCTGCATTTGTCTTTTTGCTCGACCACGTTGAGTGGACTTATACACTTAAGCTCCGTTGCGGCCATCGGAACTGCCGCTCCCGTCTCTATGAGTTCTTGGATGGCGGTACGTGTGAATGTGGCATGCGTGTTTGCCCCGACATGATTGCGATCGTGGAAAGGTTGTGGTGGGCCGTGGCTCCATGGCAACCAGTAACCCTTGGCGATGACGGAGAGGACGAGGCTGCTAGGGCACCATGAGCTCCACCACGCAAATGTCGCGCGAAGACGACCGCGCATCTGTGTAATAGTTCTGTCTGTAACGGCAAATTCGTACGGGTCGTCGTAGCATGTCGCCTCGCACCGTCGTGCTCCTGTACATTTGAGGCCAAGTGGTATACGGGTTGAGTATTCCATGTTAAAGCATGCGTGTGCAGGTACATGTACGGGCAACCATTGATCAAATGTGTGAAGAAAATAAAAAAACAGAAGGAATGTCAACGAATGTGTCGGGCGCGAAACGACGCTACTTCTTCTCCTCGTTTCCTCCTCCTCTTTTTTTTTTTTTTTTTTTTTTTTTTTTTTTTTTGCCCCGTCGTGCACTCGGTAGGATGTGGTTGTGCCTGCCCTTAGTGCATGGGAGCTGATGCCTATGGCCATGGACACACTTGTCCATTGTGTTTCTCTTATTCTCTCTCGTTCTCTCTCTCTCTTCTCTCTCTCTCTCTCTCTCTCTCTCTCTCTCTCTCTCTCTCTCTCTCTCTCTCTCTCTCTCTCTCTCTCTCTCTCAAGCGGTCCTTCATTGATGTATAGGCAGGTAGATGCATGGTAACTAGTCCTGGCCAGCAAGTAACCCTAGGAAACGAGCAGTCATCAAGCATCCGAGCCTTGGCCAAGGTCCTAAACAAGCCATCAAGCTCTCTCTCTCTCTCTCTCTCTCTCTCTCTCTCTCTCTCTCTCTCTCTCTCTCTCTCTCTCTCTCTCTCTCTCTCTCTCTCTCTCTCCCTCTCTCTCTCTCTCTCCCTCTCTCTCTCTCCCCCCCCCCCCCTCTCTCTCTCTCTCTCTCTCTCTCTCTCTCTCTCTCTCCCTCTCCCTCTCTCTTTCATGCTCTCTCTTACTCGTAGTTCATGGGGGCTGGTGCTTAGAATCATGGACATGCGTGCCCACCATGTTGTATCTCGT